TATGGATAAAAAAAAATTAAAGAGCCAACACATTTCTTAGTATTGTCCAGCATAGTTTCTTTGGAACTAAACAAGTTAGAAGGAATGTGAAAATTGGCTATTTGAAAAACTGTCCTGAATTTAAAGCAGTATAAATGTATTCATCATTGAATAATGTGTTTTGTATATATACTGGAGTGCTATTTCCTTTCACTTTAATCTGCTTAAGTTTTTTTTTCAAGGTTAATAAAATAGGTTGTACATTATAGAAAACTGCATATACCATAGAATATTTGTCTTCATGCCATTCCCAGATTGCGTCGTTATGTAACAATTTCAGTTCTCATTGTGTTCATCTTTCTTTTTCAAGAATCAAGGGCAGTTTACTAAAGCTATTTAGTCCCATAGTCAGTTCAATGTCAATACCAGCTCTATAAAAAAAACTGTTGCCTCTGCAGAATCTCTTAAAAAGCCCACATTGAAATAGTTTTTCTACCATTAATTTAAACATTAAAAGCAATAATATGGTTACAAACTTGATTTAAAAAAAAAAAAAAAAAACTAGAAAATCACATTTGACTATACCTGTTCTCAGAAATTACCAGCCTTGCACTGTAAGGTTTAGCTCAATCCAGGAGCTTGATTTGGCAAAAGGGGGCAGCAGTTGTCAACCTTTTAATAAGCTGAGCTCCTGGGAGTACATTCCTGGCACCTTAACAACTACAATAGGTAGTTGTTCTTGGGGTGTTCCTTTAATATAAAATTTTAAAAAGCATCCATTGGACCCCAATATTTCTGTCTAGAGTCTAGACTTGCAGCAAGAAAATTAATAATTGGGCACAGGAGATGGTCCTTCTCAAGAGACCCTTTAATTATTATGAACCTCATAAAACCCAAGGAATGCTCAATCTCATTGGTCTATAATAAAAATATGGGGCTTCTGTTTGCTGCTAGGGTCTCAAGTGGAGTGAAGATGGGGCCTCCACTTGAGACCCTACCAAATATTATTAGGGCCCATATAAACTACTTTATATTATAACTATAGATTTAATAATTTAATAATGTTGAGTGAGAGAAAGCTCTGTGTATGAATGTGTCAGTATATCAATAGAAAAGGTTAATTCTTATTTAAATATATAGGTGATAAGCAGATGTTAAGCTGCCAGAAATGCAGTTCTTCAATTATGAAGCATAGCAGCTGCTGCTAATCTATATTGACAAAGTGGTAAACCAGGCAATAATCAATCATTAAATATCAGTTAATGGCAACTTCTATACTCTATTAGAGTAGATAACTATAAAGGCAGCCAGTAATTCCCTAAGTGGGGCACTACAAGCCTGTATACTACAATATTTGGTTATTTTATGAAGGAGGCAATTGTAAGAAAATATGTATTAACCTTTTCTATTGACCTGTTCATGGTGATGTTGTAGTCTTCTGCTAGCATTTTCACAGAAGCATTCCTGATATAACCAATATGGTCAGGTGTGAAATGAACCCTTCTGAAAATGCACGGTAATCGCATGCAAGGCCTGGGGGATACAGACACATTTGAAAAGAAGAGAAAACAACAAAAGGGCATCTTAAAGCACTTAAACTGAATTGTTTTGTAAGTCTACAGAATAGTAAATTACTTTTAAAATGTATTTCTGCCTTGGTATTTCTTCCTATATCTACATGTTTACCCAAGACCCCCTAAAAAATACAGTTTTTAGTAACTGATCTATCCTATTTATTTTTCGGTTTGCCTGTCTGTCTATTTGTCCATATATCCTTTCATCTATTGATCCATGCATCTTTCTTTTTGCTTATCTATACAGTATCAGTCTGAATTCTGGATGTACATTCTTGAAACTAAGTTGTTCAGATGTCTATGATTTTAGCTGTAATAATATAATTGTAATGTATTTGAATTAATATTTAAACTATATTAACATATAAAGAAAACCAAATTAACTTTGTGGCAGCCTTATTTACAAACTAGTTCATAAAGAATATTCCATTTTGTCAAAACATGTGTCTAATTATAGAAGTCTATAGACACTAAAAAATATGTCACATCTCACATCACTTGTCACTTATCTTTTTGTGCTTCCCGATTCCTACCTGCCTATTTTAGTAGGTCAGTCCTTATCCCACCAGTTTTCTTTGTGACTCTTTGGCACAATACCATCCTTTTGTGATGGTCTAACTCCCAGAATACTTAGGTTGTTATCCTTTCCTGTCCCATTTACCCATAGTACATTCTCTTCTTGTCAGATGTCTAATCTTACACAAATTGGAGACAGAGGGCCTTAGGAAATAAACCATTACAGGCTCATTCGAATCAACCTGAGGCCTGTGACACACATAACTTGTAATATGTATCTTCATGAGGGATCAAGTGTGACTTGTTCTGTTGTATTGTCACTGTAGAAATACTTTTATAGCATCAAATTCACCTTGTGTAGTCCTGGGATTTCTAGTCCAGTCATAGTTTGCATATTGTATGGAATGTTAACTGTCCAGCTGAGCCCAGTTTAAATGTTTGACTGTAGACTACCCAAGACTGTACTTCATTCCAGTTCTATCATGCCTTCTTTATTTATTTTTTAACATTACCTACTATAGTCTTCCTACTTTATATCACTACTGAGACTTAACCTCCACTGCACATTGCAAATAATGTGTGACTATACATTAATTTATGATATCAGAAACCTGTGCAATTTTTTATCATGGCCCATGCCTTGTTGCATTAAAATTATGTATTTGTTCTTGCATATTCTAGAAATACCAATTAGCTTTCCCTGTATAAACCTTACTTTTGACATGGAGAAATCCTTTTGTGGCATTAGTGCTTTTTCAAGTATTTTTTATGATTCTTTGGTTTTAGTTGGACTTTTCCAGTAGTTATCTCTCTCTGAGGTTTCTCAATGTGGTAACCTCCGATTTCTGTGTATTCAAGTCAATTTCCTGTTCTAGACCACATAGTCCAGTTTGGTCCTGCCTCAAATATTCTTATAATGGATGGTTCCACCCACCTTTAGCTATTGATGTTTTGAGATATTTTTGATGTACCTTTGTGAAGAAGATTTTAACTGCAATCAGATTCACCTGGGGACATTTTTTGTTTTCCTTCATTTATTTCTTTTTGAAAAACTTGAGAGAATAAATTGTGTTATCTTGTTATTTTAGTAAATGTATAACAATTTACTTTAATTAGCCTTGGTACTATATTCCTTTAATACTATACCAAAAGGTCATTGCTAGTTAGCAAGCATATTCATTTAATATATTGATTTTACATACATACATTAATAAATAAATAAATAAATAAATATGAATTAAAGTCTAATTAAGAATACTTTATGTGGAATATTTATAAGTCTGCTAAATTTTATGTACGATTTATATTGGTATAACACTCATGTTATTAAATCATACATTACTGAAACTGTATGATTGTGTATGACAAACTACTGGAGTTACTAGAGAGATTGTGGTCACTGAAAAAAAAATATTCTGAATTATGGATGAAAAAGTCTTTATTCTTTCTTCCTTGCCAATATAGATATTTCATTGAAACCAATTTACGAGAAGGCAAAGAATTTGAAATAGACACAAATAATGGAGCAATAAGGACAGCAACACACCTTGATCGAGAAGAAAACCCATGGTATAACATTACAGTAACTGCTGCTGAGACAGGTAGATATGCATTATATGAATGTATGAATAATGTTTTATTACATCTACAGTTAAGGCTAAATATGATTACAATAACTCAATACTGAATTTTGTCTCTTTTCACTTCCTTTTTAATCCTGTAATAAGCAATGTATGCTTCTGAATCGACAGATCTTTTTGTATTAGAGACCCTTGGTATGATGCCTAGGATTTACACTTGAAAGAGAATATGCTTACATAAAGATAAGGAACAACAAAGTATGAAAAACACACATCTGTTAATAGCTTTATATAAAGTAGTAATAATCCGAGCTTGATTAAAGGCAAAACATACTCTTAATGTTTGCTCTTCAGCACAATGTGTCATTTGATGAAAGAGATTAATATAATATTAAAAATAGTCAGTGCATGTCACCCTAAATAAGACATTGCAGAATATGCAGATGATATAACAGAACCAAAACAAAAACTAGAATGTGCTTGTTGTAATTTAAAGGAACACTATAGAGTCAGGAGCACAAACATGTATTCCTGATCCTTTTGTTTTAAAACCACGAACTAGCCCCCCTGACACCCCCTTGCCTTCCTAAATATAGTAAAATTGTGCTTGTATTCAAGTCTGTAGCTACTGGCTCTGCCCCTGTCTGCCTCTGACCTGCCCCGTCTGCTGGCATCATTAGAAGTGGTGGCCTAAACCAATCACAATGACTCCCCATAGGATTGGCTGAAACTGTCAAGGAGGCAGATCAGGGGTAGAGGAGTAAGCACAAGTCAAACACAGCCCTGGCCAATCAGAATCTCCTCATAGAGATGAATTAAATCAATGCATCTCTATGAGGAAAGTTCAGTGTCTGCATGCAGAGGGTAGATACACTGAATGGCAGTGCTACTTACTCTGTAGCACTTCCCAAGGAAGCACCTCTAGCAGCCATTTGAGAAGTGGCCAGTGAAGTTATCACTAGGCTGTAATGTAAACACTGCATTTTCTCTGAAAAGACAGTGTTTACAGAAAAAAAAGCCTGAAGGGAATGATTATACTCTAAGCTGTCGTTGTTCTGGTGACTATAGTGTCCCTTTAAGGGTTTCCCTTTATGTGTCTTTAAATGTATATCAAATATAGCATATCAGGTCAACAAAAAGGGAACAAAAATGCACCAATCAGTCTACTGCAGTCTACATGCATTTCCCCACCATTTGGTTCAGAGATCAAGTGAGAAAAGTAACTAATATCAGGAAACATATTATATATATAGAACCTCTTGCACTCCTACTAAAAATAAGTTTTAAGTACCCGGTGCCAAGTCACAATAATATAATAATATCAAAAAACTACCGGCACTCTAGGCTTTGTTCATCCGATTTATTTGTGGTTAATCCAGAGATGTCAACGTTCCGATCGGGAGCTGAAACGTTGACATCTCTGGATTAACCACAAATAAATCAGATGAACAAAGCCTAGAGTTCCAGTATTTTTTTGATATTATATATATGTATATATATATATATTTCGCTCCATAAGATGCACCTGACCATAAGACGCACCTAGTTATTAGAGGAAGAAAACAAGAAAAAAAATATTCTGAATCAAATGGTGTACTAAACTATTTAATAAACTATATCAGAATAATATTTCAAACATGTAAAGTGAACACCAGTCAACAGTGGCATTAAGAACACTGGCATAGTTTACACACAGATACAAACACACACATATACTCACAGGTACACATGGACACTCACAACTACACACACAGATACACATACCTACACATACACACACTGGCACACACAGATACACATACCTACACAGATACACACACACACACACACACACACAATATTGGCACACAGATACAGACACACATACATACACATTGGCAAACACACACTGAAACACACACACAGATACATACACACACTGGCACACACACACACACACACCTAAACATATACGCTGACACATACATTGCAGTTGAGATATAATTAACCACCCCCTGTTTCAATACCTTTTGCTGTTGGGAGGTGAATTCCTGGGGCTGGCTGAGGCTGATGGGATGGGAGTCGGCCTGCAGAGCTTTTTCTCTTCCCACCTCCTCTCTCAGCCTGCCTTCAGTCCTCCCAGCCTGCGCAGTCAGTAAGCTGGAAGGAAGTAACAGAGAGATAGTCATTTCCTCTCAGCACTCTCTGCTTGGGAGGGGCTCAGTATCGGCTCTCTGCAGCCTTCCCTCCTTCATGCCACTCGATCTCAGTATGCATTCACTCCATAAGACGCACAGACATTTCCCTTTTCTTTTGAGGAGGAAAAAAGTGTGTCTTATGGAGCGAAAAATATGGTATACAGATATATATATATTTGCATGAGTCATTTATTTTATGATTAGTCTATATGGGGGCTCGGAAATCGAAAATTCAGAAAATCACCCACTTGGCCCACATTTTAACAGTTTGCAATTCAGAGCAAAATTAATCTCTAAGTCTATCTGAAACCAACTGAGAGATTTTCCTACTAAAACAGTAGATATCGTTCAGTGATGATCAAGTAGTCTGAGAATTCCCCCAGCTGAGTATGATTGCTTAGCCTTGCTAATATAAAGGAATTTAAAGAGCTTTATGCAGTGCTCATTTTTATTACTGCATACTGCTCATCTATCAGTATGGGACAGTAAATATTACCCCAGCTGACAGAGGAGAGTCATGGATACCAGGTTTTCCTTCGGATTTAACCATGTGCACACCAGGTTCCAGCTGTGAGGATGTAAAGAGATTTAAAGGCTGTAAGCAGCACTTACTTTAAGCTCTGCATACAGCTCAACTGTTTGTTTGGGGCAGTGGTGGATCCAGAACCTGATCTCGGGAGGGGCTATGTGTAGTGGTTATGGAGCAAGGAGTGCCAGGACCCCCTCCCAGAGTAAGTAGTCAAACCATTAAAGAACAGTTTTGGCAACTTACCTGGGGTCTGCTGGGATATGGGGCTGTAGTAGGGGAGAGGAGCAGTGGTGTGTGTGAGTGGTGCAATGTGTGAGGGGTGCAGTATGTGTGAAAGGTTCAGTGTGTGTGTATGGCCTGAGGTGCAAGAGATGAGCCCCAGTGCTCACCTCAAAATGCTAGTTCATCCTATGCTGTTCTAATGGCAATTAAGCCCACTTTGTAAAAGATGGCATGGTATATCCTAATGTTTTTAAGACGTTAAGTACTAATGACAGCCTATACCAGGCATAGGCAACCTTCGGCACCCCAGATGTTTTGGACTATACCTCCCATGATGTTTTGCCAGCATTATGGGTGTAAGAGCATTATGTGGGATGTAGTCCACAACATCTGGATTGTAGGCTGCCTACTGTCAGGATTATATTGATCCAGCACGCAGAATAGTATCACACCCTAGAACTAAAGGTAACGTCTTACCAGGCCTTAGAATGGCCGGACTTAACGTACCCAAGAATAGTCAGAAAACTAGCCGAGGTCTGGGACACAGAATGAGACACAGCAATAAGGAAAAGCCAAAAGTCAAGTGTACCAGAAATCAGGGAAGTCAAAACGAAGCTGTAACGGATGACCTGGCACACCGACAGGGTACCTCCGTTGAAGGATGCTCCTAGCGCTTACAGAGGGCTTCAAGCGCTCCGCCACATACCACAACCACCGCAGACCCCAGAAACCGCCGCAGCTTGGTTGAGGTCTCGCCGTCTCCTACCCACCCTGGACCTACGACAAGGCTCCAGGTTTCAGTGGGTGAACCTCTCCTCCAAGAGAGTGAATCAGGAACAAGCTCTTAAAAGAGCTTAGTAGTGATTAGCTAAAGGAGTATGCAGAGCATAGCAATCCCTTGTAGTGATATAACAATTCCCCCAATAAGAGACAGGACTCTAGATTGAGGGTGAAGAAGAACTGACTCCAATGAGCATTTATTCCTGCTTATATACAACTTTCCCATCAAGGTTACCACCCACGTGGACCTTGTGGGGCACTGGAACTGTAAATTTAACAACCTATAAAATAAAGGCACATGGACAAGCACACTCACTTTTTGCAATGAGACTCCTCCCCTCTGCTTGGGAGATAATTGAGGTAATTACTGTATCAACTCAATTATCTCCAAGCTAAAAAAAAAACATACTTTTATGCCATTTTTGAAACTTTTTGAGTTTACATGCAATATCAATAAAACTTATATTTTTATAACCAGCTTATTTTGGGGACAAACATATCCAAAATTCACTTGAATCGGTTAAGTGGTTCGGGAGATAGGTAGAAGTCATATTTTGACCAAGAAGGAACAAAACAGCCAGTTCCAACTGGTTTGGCAGTGTCCCTGGGACAAAGCCCTGCTGGAGAACAATGGAAAAGGGGGAGGGAAAGAGGCACACCTTCCTATGGGTTCAAAGGGGCAGAAAAAGTGTCCCAAAAGTTTCAATATGTCCATACACTGTTTTTAAAGGGCCAGCACTAGTCCAAATAAAAGTCCATGAGACCAAGTAATGGTATTAAAGGGCCATAACCTCAGGGCCATAGTCATGTGGCAAGAGGCTGGCAAGCAGGCTTCTCCATAAGCCAGGGGAGCAGAGCAATTTGTCACATAAAATACCAGTTACAAAAGGCAATTTGTAACAGAAGCCAAGGTCGAAAACCAGAAAAACACGATCAGGAACACACTCTTGGATAACCATCTAAGGGAAACCACCAAAGGGCAATGAGCTAATGAATATGTGAGTTTAAATAACCATCTTGCAGATCTGATTGGCTGTACCCAGCCCTTCACCCCAAAACGTGTGTGTGCATCTTTTGCGTGACGTCACCTGCACTTCGATGTTGTCTTTACCATGGATGGACGTGGGGCGATATAATTGTGTGGGTTTGCAGCGGGCAACGTACACTGACATGCCACAAAAGTCAGGCATCATGGCAGAAGACCGCTGAGCGGCACTCCCCTCGATCTTTGGAAAGTAATTATCTCTGTTTTTGCCACATGGAGATGAAGGATACGTGACACCTACCCTATGCTTATACTATTTTTTTTTTTATATATAATTCTTTGTTAGTTGTGCCAGTTAGAAAAACATGCTTGTAAAGCCATGACAGCTGTATCAAGTTCAATAATAACAGTATACAACATCAACATGGCAAAAATTAAGAGTATGAATCAGGCTAATTATGTGTGTCCAGACTACGTTCACCATAAATTTAATAATCTGTTAACTTGTCTTAGTCACAAAGGCTATGAAATTTAGAACACTCCAGTGGCCCCCTGAGACAGTAATCAGGAGTCAGGAGTCCCCAACATACCAAATTAAAGTAGAATGGGGCAATACAGGCACAGTGAGAGTTAAGTCATAAAGGTTAGTGCAGGGAAACCGCGTCTCAACACTACGGTAAATGTTACCCTATGATAGTTGGGAAGGAGATTAATGTGTGAAGATTAAAAAAAACAAAAAAAAAACGATTGATACAGAGGGCATGAGGAAACCAGTTAGGATGGGTTGAATTTCACAGCTCTAAGAGGTTTATGTGGGTCAAGATCCGAGTGTTGTAAGGAGCTGGGTTGCTTCTATGGTCCGTAAGAGTGAGTCCCTCCCAGAGACACCACAGTAGGCAATTAAAAAAAAGTGGGACAGCAATACTTTAGGCAGAGTAAAGAAACAGAGAGGTACACTTAAGTGAATTTGGCCTTGAGTAGTAGTAGTAGTAAACATGTTTAGGCAATAAACACGCTGAAACAAATGTATTAGACTTGCATATGGTTATCAGAGAGTCAGAATGAGTGTCTGCTCAGCCGATTTTAGCCAGTGGTTTAGCATGGGTTCGCTGTGATCTTGCTCTCCATAGGCGTTGTGGCCCCTTCGTGGCAATCGGGGAGGTACTGCAGGCCAGGCTGGGATGCTGGAGCGATGTTTCATGTCAGGACCCATCCTCTTGAGTAGACGCGAGGGTAGGTGTGTAAAGGCTGCTCACCTTTGGTTGCTTCAGTGTTGCATGTGCCGGTTTGATGTGTATCTCCGGCTCCTCTGCTCATCCAGGACCGGAACCCGTGCTCCATGTTGGTCCATGTGTGGTAAGTGCAGGGCTGAGGATTTATGTTGCTTCTTTATAGCAACCTTTCACATGTATCGAGCCAGCTTGTGCCAGCTATCTGCTTGTGGTGACTTGATTGAGGAGGGAGCTTCAGTCTTCGCTCTAGCATAGGTAACTTGACACTTGGTCGCCGCCATTTTAGATTCGGTTCCTAAGCTTTAGCTGTCCCGGCTGTATTTTGGAGTCCTGGCATCACCAGATTAATAGGGGCCTTAGGGTGTGGACCGGGATCACCCCCACCGGTTCAGGGGGTGAGAACGGGGCCAGGTCCACCCAGCCTCATGCTTCTGATATGGCCCTGTTAGGCAGGATAGTAGGCGGCGGCCGTCCACTCCACTCACCGCCCGAGTAGGCCTCATCTTAGGTAATGAGGATCACCTCACCAAGG